CCTTCTTAGGCAAAGTAGTTACATCAAAAAGAAAAATTAATATGATATACTGTTGTGGTGCTGTGATGTGCCTTAAATGAACTCTCCAAGTACCCAGTCAACATGAGCCTTTATTACTGTCTCTCTCTATTACTTACGGCCAAGCCAGGAGGGAGGTGGTATCACACCCATTTTACAGACAAGGAAGCTGAGGCTCAAAGAAGTTAAGAAGTGACCCAGTGACATAGCTAGTGAATGGCAGAGTTGGGATTCAAACCCACACACCTGCATGCTTTCCCCCACTCCTGGGAAATGGGACATGTCACAGCTTATAGATGTTGGGGACTGATAGAGACCAAGCAAATAGGCAATCCCAAATGTTGACCCAGTATTCTCCCACCAATCAGACCCTTAGGAGCTTTACAAAACATTCAGCACGCTTGTATTCACAAGTGACTTTCCAGGAGCCGTGAAACAGTGAGGTGAAAATAGGGTTCAGCCTAACCTGTCATTCATGCCATTATCAAACTTAAGTTTTCCAACTTCCCATTCCTCCTCTCACCCAGTCCCTCCCACAGGGACAATTCAGAGCCTTTAAAACCATTCCCAAATCTCTTTCTCCTTACTGGAGACCCTATAAGCAAATTCACTGAAGAATACTGAGGGATTTGGGGTTGATTTGATTAGAGAATAATCTGAACCTATATCATAGCCATTCCCACGTCGGTCTCTCCTACTCCAGCTCCTCCAAGCAAGAGCCCCTCCCGACGCCCAGCCTGTAGAAGGTGGTTGTAGAACTAAAGTGAATTAAACTTGGCAGATGAAAGTCATGGGTGTAAATCTAAGAATTACGTGAATGTGCTTAGTATAGCTTGGGAAAAGATGCAGCTTCATCTAAGAGCCGTGAGATTTACTGACATGGAAGCCTTCCAGTGGGGGCTCTTATACTCAGCTTTGAAGAATATACTGTATACATTAAAATATTTACCAACCAGGAGAAGAACTGGGCCACCAAATGGAGTCCCCCAAACCGATGGCCCCAGCAGCCAACCCATTCCCTCTTTTAGAGAATTCTGGCCGATCTGCAGACATATGCCCAGAGCGCATGCCTGCTTCCGAAAGTACAAGATCCCTGTCCAAGTACAAATCTGTTGTCAGCCTGACGGGCTAGTGCACCATCAGGCACATCTAAGACAAAAAGAGCTCTTCAGAGACCACCTGGTCCAATGACTTCCACACAAGGAAAGAGAATGAATCTATGTGGTTAGGGAAAGTATCCTCAAAACTGATTCTGACTGAGCAAAAGAAATGGCAGGACACAAAGTGCTATAATCTGGATGTTTGTGTCCCCCCAAAATACTAACCCCCAAGATAATCATTTTAGAGGGTGGGGCCTTTGGAAGGTGATTTGGTCATGGGGGGTAGAGACCTCATAAATGGGATTAGTGCCCTTATAAAAGAAGCCCCTAAAAAGACCACTTACCCCCTCCACCACGTGAGGACACAGCAAGAAGGGACTACCTATGAACCAGAAAGCAGGGCCTCACCAGACACCAAATCTACCAATGCCTTGGTCTTGGGCTTCTCAGCCTCCAGAACTGTGAGAAATACATTTCTGTTCTGTATAAGCCACCCAGTTCATGGTATTTTGTTACAGCACCCTGAACAGATTAAGACACAAAGCTCAAACGTAATCTTCCTGGCCAGTGGGGTACGCTGTCCACCCACTTGAGAGCATGAGAGACGAGAAGGGAGAAGAGAGAAAGGGACAGTAAGGGAGAGAAGGGGAAGGGAGGAGAGAAGGGGAAGAGAGGAGAGGAGATGGCAGGGGAGGGGAGCGGAAGGGAGGGGAGGGGAGGAGGTGCCAGGTATTAAAAGATTAAACCACCACATCCCTAGGCCCATTTTACAGGTCAAGAAATGGACGTGCAGGATAGAAGGTGATCTGTTCAAGGACACACTGCTGGCTATAGGCCGAGTTGCAGCTAAAATGAAGACCTCCTGATTCCTGGCCTCATCCCTTTCTCCTTTTGCACGTGATTTACATATAAATATATATAGAAAACCAAGACAAGTTTTATTTTAGAAGTACTATCCTTACTATGTGTGACGAACTAACATTTCCTATTGTTCTTTTATAAAGTACTAATCACAACTCACTAAACCCATTTTACAACACACCAATGGGTCATGGTGCATGGTTTGAAAACGCCTGACTCAGATATCTGGAAAGAGTCAAGCCAAGGCCAGAGGTCCCACAGGTGTGCTTTCCAGCCCTGTTGTAGGACCTGTGGCCTTGACTTGACTCTTCCTTTAAGTTCAATTTGAGGGTGCTTATGAATGGAATACGTTAAACATTGATAAAGAGAACTCCTGGCTTCCACAGTTAAAATTTCCCTCCTACAATGTTCACCATCACAGTGGATGCCACCACCATGCCCTAGCTGTGAAGACCAAACAGCGAGGAATTATTCTTAAATTCTTTTTTCTGTCTGCTATGCCCCACCCATCAGCATGTCTCTGTCCTCACCACCCTGGTACAAGCCATCATCGCCTTCCCCTTGGGCTATGAGAAAAACCTCTTAACTGGTCTCCCTGTTGCCACCTTGGCCTCCCTACTCTATTCTCTACCAGCGGCCAGAATAATCTTCTAAAAACGTAAATCAGATCACAACAGCCTTCCTGCTCCAAAGACCTGCCACCATCTTAGAACAAAATCCAAAGTCTTTCCATGGCCCAGAGGCCCCCCATGATATAGCCCCACCTGCCTCTGCCCCTCCTCCTCTGCCATACTGGTCATCTTGCTCTTTCTCCAAAAAACCAAGCATGAGCCTCAGGGCCTTTGCACTCATTGCTCTGTCGGCCTGGAGCCCCTCTCCCAACACCAACAACTGCTCTCTTCTTTACTCTGCCCTCCAACTGCATCATCAGGTCCCCAGAGAGAGCTTCCCTGGACACACTGTCTCCCGTGGCCTCATTTCTCTCCTGTCCCTCCCCTTCTTTGCTGTATTCTTTTTTTTTTTAAAGACAGGGTCTTGTTCTGTCGCCCAGGCTACAGTAAAGTGGTGTGATATTGGCTCACTGCAACTTCCAACTCCCATGTTTGAGCGATTCTCATGCCTCAGCCTCCCAAGTAGCTGGGATTACAGGCGTGTGCCACCACGCCCAGCTAATTTTTGGCATTTTTAGTAGACAGGGTTTCACCATGTTGGCCAGGCTGGTCTCAAACTCCTGGCTTCAAGTGATCTGCCCGCCTCAGCCTCCCAAAGTGCTGGGATTACAGGTATAAGCCGCCGTGCCCCGCCTGCCATATTCTTCTTCAAGGCATTGATTCCCTCCTGTCTTTCTATCTTAAATGCTTTATTGGCTGTTGTCTATTTATTGCCACCACGAGACCCTAAGTTTCACGAGCAAAAGGACTTGGACTGTCTTGTTTAACACAATATCCTCAGTTCCTAAAAGGGGCCTAAATTCAGGGCTGAATGAATAAATGAATGAATGGAAGTGCCTTTCCCAAAAGACAGGAAACTAAACCATTTTGAAATACACTCACCCCAGTCCAAGGTCTTCTAAACTTTCCTGATAAGAGTCATCCGAGGTACTATTTAAAAAACATATATTCCCAGCCCTTCTGAATCAGATTCTCCTACAGAGGGGCCTGGGAAGCTTCAAGCTTGATGAGCACCCCAGGGGATTTGTATCTTGGAAGGGTCTGGGGACGCTGGACCAGCCAGACATGGGGAACAGGTGCACACATAGAGAGCACACGTGCAGGCCATCTGGAGAAGAGCAGAGGGAGAAACTGGTACCAGGTGGGGCCAATGAGGCCAGGGGCCTGGGCATAGGTACTTACAAGGGTCATGTGGCACCTAATAGCCAAGGGACGGGCCAGCGAGGGTGAGGCATCTTTATGTATTTATTTATTTATTTTTGAGACAGAGTCTTGTTTTGCCGCCCAGGCTGTAGTGCAGTGGCGCCATCTTGGCTCACTGCAGCCTCCTCCTCCTGGGTTCAAGCAATTCTCCTGCCTCAGCCTCTCGAGTAGCTGGGATTACAGGCATGTGCCACATGCCCACCTAATTTTTGTATTTTCATAGAGACGGAGTTTCACCATGTGGGCTAGGCTGGTCTTGAACTCCGGACCTCAGGTGATCCGCCTGCCCCAGCCTCCCAAAGTGCTGGGAACTTTAAGTCATCCAGACAAGGATTTGAGGCCAAACCGAGAAAGCATTCATCTGATTCTGTAGTCAAACTAGAACCCTTGAATCAGTTCTTCGAGGCAAGAAATAATACAACTGCAGTTTTGCTTTTTTGTTAATTGTAATAAAATACACATAACATAAAATTTGCCATTTTGACCACTTTCAGGTGTCCAAGTCAGTGCCATTAAGTACATTCACATTCTTGTGCAACTGTCACCAACTATATATCACTTTGTAATAACAACTCCCCATTCCCGTCTCTCTTGTCCATGGTAACCCCCATTCGAGTTCTGTCTCTATGAATTTGAATATTCTTTTTTTTTTTTCTTTTGAGACAAGGTCTTGCTGTGTCACCCAGGCTGGAGTGCAGTGGTACAATCTTGGCTCACTGCAACCTCTGCCTTCCAGTCTCAAGCAATCCTCCCACCTCAGCCTTCAGAGTAGCTGGGACTACAGACACAGGCCACCATCCCTGGCTAATTTTTGAATTTTTTATAGAGATGGGTTTTGCCATGTTGCCCAGGCTTGCCTTGATGGGTTTCACCATGTTGCCCATGCTTGCCTTGAATTCCTGGACTCAAGCAATCCACCCACCTCGGCCTCCCAAAGTGCTGGGATTACAGATGTGAGCCACCAAACCCAGCTGAATTAGAATATTCTAAGTACTTCACGCAAGTGGGATCATACACTGTCTGTCCTTTTGTGTCTGGCTTTTTTCACTTAGCGTAATGTCTTTTAAGTCCATCCACATTGTAGGATGTATAAGAATTTCCTTATTCTGACATATTGTTATTCTGAATAATATCCCATCATACATACCACTATCCATTCATCCACTGATGGGCATTAGGGTTGCTTCCAACTTCTGGCCACCGTGACTCATGCTGCTATGAACACGGTGTTCAGGTATCTGTCCAACTCCCGGCTGCGGTTTTGCTTTTTAAGCTGTTTTGCTGGGACATGGAGCAACACCCTGAGGCGGAGCCCAGAGGCTGCTGGTGAGCAGGTTGGCTGGTGGCCACCACTAACTGGCTTGATGGTTCAAAACCAGCCTGGTCAACGTGGTGAAGCCCTGTCTCTATGAAAATACAAAAATTAGCTGGGCATGGTAGTACACCAGCTTTCTACACTGAAAGCTGGTGCTGTGAGGATGGCAGGTGGGCAACGGAGCATGGCTGTCACATACAGAACTTTAGAACAGTGACCTTAGGTAAAACAATGCCAGGAGGGACTTCAGTCAACTCTCACTTAACTAAGTCTTAAAGCTGTTTGTGAGCCCGAGGACAGGCAAGGAAGGAATCAAGACATAATGAAGCCATCTGGGTGGGTCTGGTCTTTGGTGGCAAGACATTGGAATGAGCCAGTCTGTGACTCAAGTCTGGGTCATAGGCTGCAGGAACCCACTCAGAGCAGAGCTCGGCTCTGAAGAAAGCAGCTTCAGGCTTCTGAGGCTGCAACCCGAAAAGTGGCTTGAGAAGGTGACCCCAATATTGTTTGAGATGCCAAAATTGTTTTCTTAAAAACCTGGGATGATTTCAAATGAAGTGCAAAAAAATGTCCAGAACTGGTAAGTACACAGACACAGAAAGTAGACCAGCAATTGCCTAAGGCCAGGGGTGGGGATGGCAAGTGACAATAAATAGACACAGAGTTTCTTTCCAGGGTGATGGAAATGTTCTAAAATTAGACTGTGGGGACGCACTCTATAAATACGCTAAAATTCATTGAATTCTACACTGAAAGTGGGTGAATTTTACATGTAAATAATATTTCAATAAGACTGCTTTTAAAATAAGTATAGAGATGTTTAAGAATAAACCCATAATATTAATATTTTCAAGATTTTGACCTGCTTGAATAGATCTACATTGCAATACACTATGAAAGACTTCATTGAACAATTTATTTGATTTGAAATTTTAAGCTGAAATCTAAGTTTACATATAATACTAGAGCATTTTAAAAACTTAATCTCCTCTAGCCCGGGCGACAGAGTGAGACTCCATCTCAAAAACAAAACAAGACAAAACAAAAAAACCTTAATCTCTAACCAATTGAAGAGTCTGAAACATTAAATAAATTAAATAAGTAAATCTTAAGATCCGCCATATTTAAGTTTGAGGTATTAGATTTCTATTACGTAAATACTTGAGCCGGGCAGGATGGTGAACACGTGTAATCCCAGCACTTTGGAAGGCTAAGGCGGGTAGATTGCTTGAGCCCAGGTTTTCGAGACCTGCCTGGGCAACAGGACAAAACCCCATCTCTACAAAAAATACAAACACCACCAAGGTGTGGTGGTGCATGCCTGTAGTCCCAGCCACTGGGGAAGCGGAAGTGGGAGGACTGCTTGAGCCCAGGAGGTTGAGGCTGCAGTGAGCCACGATCCTGCCACTGCACTCTAGTCTGGGCAACTGCGTGAGACCCTATCTCAAAATAAATAAACAAACAAATGAATAAATAAATGCTTGTGCATTAATTGGGCAAATGAAGTATTCAAAAATAACTGTAAATAGATGACATTTTAAATGCAATTTGAATTGTTATCAGAAGATTAAGTGTGTTAAAGGATCAAACATTAATTAAAGGCCACCCTAAATGTAACTGTTAAAGGCTTATGAATAGAAGAGTAATTCTAAATTTAAAGGTAGCTTCCTAGATTTGTGACTTAAATTTTATTAGAAGCCTTTTCTGTATACAACTGTCATCCCAGTGACATGAAAAACCTCACATCAACAGAGAAGATAATTAATAGGAATTGGCATCTTTAGGCTGGCCCAAGGGGTGGAGAGTGTGAGTGTCTGGGGTAAAGGAGAACCAGCCCCTACCCCAAAGCTCAGCATAAATTCTGTCCCTGAAAACCCCTACAGTAGTAGAAGAACTTTATTGCTGAGAAACTTAAGACGCTGTGGAAAAAACACAGTTCAAGGAATTGATATTGGCAGTTAACCTGGGGAAGCCCTCATAAATTACATTTTATGTTCACTTAAATAAAACAAGAGAGACAGCACTGCAACACAGATCATATTAATTACATTTTACACACTTCAAATGAGTAATTATAAGCCTTATACGTTTACTTTGCATTTATCCTTCCTCGCCTGCTGAAGAATGTTCCCCTCTCCCTGCAGTTTCCCTGGAATGCTTATACATTTATTTTGCAGCGAGGCAGAAAACATGCCAAAGTGCTTTCTCCTCTGCCTGGCACTCCAAGTCTGATTTTACAACCTGGACACGCTGATGTCTGCCTCTGGGGTTCCCCCACGGCTTCCGAGACAGAGTAACGTAGCTGCTTAAGAAAGGAAGTAGTCCAGATAACCTTTATTTAAGCTACTCAAGCATGGCGGGGCATTAACCCCAAACCTGCCTCCTCCCCTTGAGTCCAGAAAGCTGTTTAGCTTTGCCCAGGAAAATCTCACTCACACAGTCCTCACACAGTCCCACTGTGCCCGGCAACTCCACCTCACTCGGGCAGGCGTCTCGCCCAGGGCTCCAGTCCCTCCTGGCCACATGACCTCTTAAAAGCCCAAGGGATTTTCGCCCATTCTTTGTCCATCTCAAGAGCACCCAGGCAAACCCTGAGCCTACCTAGGCTTCTGCTTTCTTTCCCTTTTCTCCACTCTTGTCCTAGAAGGCAGGAACAGGTCCTGGCTACGACCATGGTAAAGTGGACTGCACAGTGTCCCAAATTCATATCCACTGGGCACCTGCAACCATGGATCGCAGTGTACAATCTGCTGCAATCCACTGTGACATGCTATGACCATGATACGGTGGATTGCACGCTGTCCCTTCCAAATTCATATCCACTGGGAATCTCAGAAGGTGACCTCTGGAAATACAGTCTTTACAGATATAATGAGTTAAATTAAGTGAGGTCAGACTAGTGTCCTTATAAGAAGAGGAGAGGACCCACAGAGACACACACAGGGAAGAGGACCATGGAAGACACAGGCAGAGATGCAAGTGATGCAGCTACAGGCCAGGACATGCCTAGGATTGCTGGGAGCCACCAGAAGCCAGGAATAGGCAAGGAGGGATTCTTCTCTAGGGCCTTCAGAGGGAACACAGCCCTGCTGACACCTTGATTTTGGATCTCCGGTCTCCCTTTAGAACTGTGGGAGAAAAAAATTTCTGTGGTTTAAAGCCACCCAGCGTGTGGGGATTTGTCATGGCAGCCTTAGCAAATTGATACACACAGCTTCCCATCTTGTGTGTCCTTGACAAGATACTCAATCTCTTAGCCTCAGTTATCTCACCTGTAAAATGGGGAGAACAATATGCCTACCTAGTAGGGTTGTCGTAAAAACTAAATAAGTTCATCCATGTCACGTGTTTGGAGCAGGGCCTGGCCCAAGGTAAGTGCTCAATAAGCCATAATTAGCTCCCATTTCTAATCGTCCACTCCGTTGTCTTTCTAATTATTTGAGAGTATCTCAAAACCCTCTTATATTCCAACCCAAAATCTCGCTGTTTTAATACAAACACATTAATCAGTGGACACACAACTATTTCACAAACCAGAGAGGAGCTACTGCACAGTCAACAGACAGAAGGGGTGGATGATGTATGCTGGAGGCCTAAGTGCTTTGGCATTGCTCAAGGTGAGTACGAGACAAGTGCAGCAGGCGGAAGTGGGGCTGTTGAACAAGCACGGTGAGCATCTTTTCTCCAGAAGCAAAGATAGCTGGAAAGACGATCTCTCCCCCAAGGAAAGGCCTGCCTGCAGTGACAGAGCTGGGGCTTCCAAGGCAACACCCACGGACCCAAACCCCTATTTCATTTCCATGTTTTTAAGAGGTAAAGATGGGGATTAGCTTTTTAATTGTTCATTCATATTCTTTTCTTCTGACATTTTACTGGCACAAGATGCCAACAGAGAGAACACTGATTTTAAAAACAGCCCCATGTGCGCTGCATCACTGGAGCCGTGAAGATGTTGACACCCTTCAAATCCAGCAGTTTCCCTCTTGGGAAATTACACCAAGGGATTAATTCAACAGAAACTAAAAGATGGATGTGTAAAGATGTTTGCTATAGAATTTCCCTCGTAATGGCCAAAAATTGAAAACACTCTAGGATATGAACTATCATTTATGAAATTATTCCTATAATCTTGGACCAACTGAAAAATGCTACTGTTATTAAAATAACATGAAGACATGTAAATGGGGTTTAAGTTAAAGCAACAGAATTCAAAATATTATGTGGATCGGGACCTTGGTTGTGTAAATACACATACACATATAAAAGACAGCATATAAAAGTGAAAACAGGCAGGGCATGGTGGCTCGCACCTGTAATCCCAGCACTTTGGGAGGCTGAGGAAGGGGGATCACCTAAGGTCAGGAGTTCAAGACCAGTCTGGCCAACATGGTAAAATCCCATCTCTACTAAAAATACAAAACTTAGCCAGGCATGGTGGCATATACCTGTAGTCCCAGCTACTGGGGAGGCTGAGGCACAAGAATTGCTTGAACCCGGGAGGCAGAGATTGCAGTGAGCCTAGATTCTACCACTGCACCCCAGCCTGGGTGACAAAGTAAGACTCTGTGAAAAGAAAGAAAGAAAGCAGAAACAGAGAGAAGGAGAGAAAGAGAGAGAAAGAAAGAACAACTGTGTTAAAATAGAGTAGTTTTTACACTTTCTTTCATGTTGTATAGTATTCTTCCCACTAAAAATGATGACTCAATGTAAGGCCAGATCCAAATCAACTCTAAGTGTTAAAGATGCTACTGAAAATCAGGCAAGTTCTAAACAAAGAGTTGGAATATCCCCAACAAAAACCTAACAATTCTCTATCTTCAGCCACTGACGTGAATATTGTTACTCAAGGGATCTTTGGATGGGGCGCGGTGGCTCACGCCTGTAATCCCAACACTTTGGGAGGCCAAGGAGGGTGGAGCACTTGA